ATCATCATTTATCAACATAAAAAAAGTTATGACAATTTTGGGGGAGAATTCGCTCTTTAAGCTGCAGCTCTTACGTTCAGTGTAGTTTTTTTATTTCATTATTTAGCCTACTTAATGGATATATTGATTGGTTATGAGGTAGTAAACGGTAGTTCTGAAAATCCAGTGAGTGATCCAGGACTGCCTTGCTCAACAGTGTGTTTGCGTGTACTGATTAATATTACACTAAAGTTGAGTTGTGACTAGGGGTGTGCGATATTGACAAAAAATTATATCTCTATATTTTATGGGATTTTATCGATAACGATAATTAGACTATATTTTGCTGAGTGTGTTATTGTGCTGGTACCTTAAGGACTGCCGAAGACCGCTGACTCCTAATGTTTTTAATATTCTTCATATTCTGTGTGGTGGTCAGTTCATACTGATAGAAATTAATCTTTTCCAATAAGTTTAAACTGATTTTTGCATTTTATGGGCATTTTTACCTTTATAAAGCCATTTTTTCTAAAAGTGTCCATTATCTTTTGAGTCAAATTCTTACATTTAATCAGGGAATTAGAATAATAAGACATTTGGGCTGTTACCAAGCAAATTAAATCAACACAGAAGCTGCATCTGAAGTGGCATTTAGATGTATTTACACACATGTATTTTGTTTAATGCAAGACATGAATGCATTTAACCTGCAATTACAAATGCATAAATAATGTTTTGATATATTAAACATAAAACGTTGAATACTGATATTTGAAATGATTTAAAACATGAAAAAAAGAAAAAAAGAAAAAGCCGAAATTTGAAATTAAAACCGCCAGCAGGTGGCAGCAAATCACTGTTAATAAATGAGTCATTGCGATTGAACCGAATCATTTAAACGGTTGATTCATTCAAGAACGAAACACCGTCATGTTGCTCAGAGACACAAAACAGCGCTGAGGCTGTATTCGGAATGATTTTTGTTGGCGAAATAGAGCAAAAACAAGCAATATGGTGTCTAAAACGTAAGTCTCTTAATTAACTTATTGTTTATTGAATTCAATGTCACATTTGTAATCATGGTAATTTTTGGAGAAAAACGGCACTCTTCGTGTGAAATTGAATAACTATATGAAGTGGTATAAATATATAAATTTTCTGCCATCATGTCTTGAATTTGTGATAATTCTAAATGCATTTTAATAGACTGAATCATGCAGTGAAAGAAAACACACTAAATGCACACACGCACTAGTCTAGACTTCACGTAATGTATGCGTGCGCTCTGTAGGGATGTTTTGAATGGTTTTTGCAAAATACTCGATAATGTCAAATCGCACATCGTTAAAACAACAATTACGATATTATCGCAGACGATATATCGCACACCCCTAGTTGTGATATAGAAAGCACATGCATCCTTAAATTTTTGTGCATGGAATATGGACAGTACCACTCTGCATGAACATTTTCCTAACATTTCACTGAACTTGAGTGATTGCAACCTGAATAGCTGTAAGACATTTATAACAAGGTTTTTTTTTTGTTTTTAAGATATTGTCTTAGATTAGGAAATGTATTGTTCTTTATTGGAGGGATTTATTGTACATGAATGTATTTGCAAGGTTTTCTGGTCTTTGTGAAGAGAATCATGCAATTTAGCATGTTTACAAATGAAGTCTCCCAATGATTCTGATTTTGAGGAACAAGTTTTTTTGTGTAGATTGTGATGTACAGCATCATTTGGTTCACAATGTAAATATTTATAGCTAAGTGTTAAAGCAACAAAATTAATCATTTTAAGTTGACTAAGTATACAAATCTTGGTCAAAAACTGGGTGAGTTTAGTCATAAATATGGAACACTAGGCTATATCTCTTGGATAGCACTTTGGTAAACTGCAGTTATGACAATAGGAATAAGAAATATGATTTCTTGGATCCGTTACAAGGGGCATTTTTGTCATGCAAGAGACAAGGTTTTTCCACTAGGCAGAATGTTATTACCTTGATTTTGAGAGTCATCATATTTCTCCTCAGATTTATAATAAAAGAGCTAAGTATTTGATACATTCTCTGATTGAATACATTTCACATACTACTTGATTTCTTAAGTGCTGTTTTTGAATTTTAATTGAAGTTGGGACTTGGGCATTGTATGGCATAAATTAGCAGTGGGCACTCTGTTGTCTCTGTAGTCTGTCGTGAAAGTTGTAAAGTAAAGTTTATGAATTTTGTTTCTTTTTTTTTTGTAATGAAAGTTAGAAGTGCATCTTGTGGCCTATTATTGATAATATACCGATACTGATCGTGGGATTACAGTTCATAATATTTAACCAGCAACGTGGTAAATTTTACTGTGTCTTTTTAAACACAAATGCACATAATACTTATCCAATCTCATGCATCATTGCTTGCTCGCACACTGACCCAGAATAATAGTGTTTTTAGCCAAGTTTATATAGCTCTGTGATCATTATTTCACAATAGATTTATGTTTAGACTTGTTTTTAATTGGGATCATGTACTGTAGAAGCAATACACCACTTTTTAAAAAATATTTTCAACAAAATGCAGTTTATTACTTGTGCCTCTGAGGGCATTTGCTTACTAATATTCACTATTTCAGTTTTGTTTCAACTTTATTTGCTGAATAGGCAATATTACACTGTTTAACTGAGTGATTGTCCTTTCAAATTTTTAGTAAGTTGTCTAAGTCTAATTTACCATAAAGTATTGCATATAAAGTCCGCATCACAATACTAAAGTGGGTAGCAACATCCAGTTTACATGGACTTTAAATGTGCCAAAGATTGTGTTAATCTTTGAACAATGTTAGTTTATTACAAATCTTTTTAGATGCTGTAGTTCGTTGCCAGTTCCTGTCTGGTTCACGCATGTGCAGTTGAGTGGTGTTTTTACAAAGTCTTAAAATTTCTAACAAGATAATCAAGGTGTGTTTGGTTTGATTTAGTAGCCAGTTGTCCTTTTGTGGAGCGATTTAACACATTCGTGCAATTGACAGCATCCCTCATAACCAGCATGGATGTGATGGTTTACACCATGCACTTTTTAATAGCCAAAAAAGTTACTCTAGCCCTTTTATTTCCATTAGCCACACCAGCTGCTGCGGCCCCTGCTCCCTCTCAGGCAAAGCCTAAAGAGGGCAAAACTAACCCCAAGCTGTCCTCTTCTCCTCACACCACTGCTCCTAAGCCAGTTCCTGCTGGACGCAGGAAACGCTCCTCTCTATCTGCCTCCTCAAGCTCCCCTACCTCTCCTAAATCTGCCTCTGGCCCTCGTGCTACCCCCCCATGCTCCCCTTTGGCCTCTACTCCAGCTGACTGTCCTGTAGCTGGGAAAACTGAGCAGACTGCTCCCAGGGTGGTAAAGGCTGGCAAACAAGGGAAGCAACAGAAAGCAAAGAATTTTAAACCTGCTGAACCTGAGCAAGCACCTCCCTCTGCCTCTAAGCCTGCTCAGGATCCTGCACCAGTTGCAGCGCTGCCGTCTCTTGCTATACCAGTACCAGAGGTAGCAAAATCAGCAGGAGATGGAAATGCTTCCCCTGTCTCTCCCAAAATTGCTGTGGCTCCTGTTGCCTTTAAAGTAACTTCTAAATCTGCTGCCCCAGCACCAAAGTCATTTACAGAAGCTGTGGCTGCCAGTCCACCCAAAGTGGCTGAAGCCCCTAAGGTTGCCCCTGAAGCTCCAAAAGTAGCAACCCCTGCTGTTTCAGATGCCAAGACTCCTTTGCCTTCAACAGCAGCTGCTAAGCCTGTCCCTGCCCAAGTGCCAAATGTGAACACGGCCACTGCTGCTCCCCCAAAACCTGCTCCTGCAGCATTTGAGGATGATGATCTCCCACCTCTCTTACCACCTGAGAATCCTTTTACAATGCCTGCTTTCCCCCCTATGCCACCTAGTACAATGCCCGTAGTTACCCCACCAGCTCCTAAAACAGAACCTGTCTCTACCAGTAAAGTTGAATCTGCCCCTAAAGCAAAGGCTGCTCCCAAAGCTAAGCCAGCTCCTAAGGCTGAACAGAAAGCAGCACCTGCCCCAAAAGTTGAGGCTGCACCTAAAATTGACCCTACTCCTGCCCCTAAAGTTGCAGTCCGTTCTGTCCCTAAGACTGAGGCTGCTCCTACACCTAAAGCTCAGGCTGTCCCTAAGGTTGAGGCTGCTCCTGCACCTAAAGAAAAGTCTTCCCCTAGCCCTAAAGCTGAGCCTGTTCCTTCCCCTAAGGTTGAGGCTGCCCCTAAAGCTGAGTCTACTCCTGCCGCTAAAGTTAAGCCTGTTGCTGTTCCCAAAGCTGAGGCTGCTCCTACCTCTAAAGTTGAGGCTGCTCCTGCTACTAAAGTTAAGCCTGTTGCTGCTCCTAAAGTTGAGGCTGTTCCTGCCCTTAAAGTTGAGGCTGTTCCTGCCCCTAAAGTTGAGCCTGCCCCTAAAGTTAAGCCTGCTCCTGCCCCTAAAGCTGAGTCTGCCCTTGCTTCTAAAGCTGAGGCTGCTCCTGCCCCTAAAGGCAAGCCTACCCCTAAAGCTGAGGCTGCTGTTCCTAAGGTTGAGTCTTCTGCCACTAAAGTTGAGGCTGCCCCTAAAGTTAAGCCTGTTGCTGCTCCTAAAGCTGAGGCGGCGGCTGCTAAAGTTGAGGCTGTTCCTGCCCTTAAAGTTGAGGCTGTTCCTGCCCCTAAAGTTGAGCCTGTTGCTGCTCCTAAAGCTGAGGCGGCGGCTGCTAAAGTGGAGACTGTTTCTGCCCTTAAAGTTGAGGCTGTTCCTGCCCCTAAAGTTAAGCCTGCTCCTGCCCCTAAAGCTGAGGCTGCCCCTGCTTCTAAAGCTGAGGCTGCTCCTGCCCCTAAAGGCAAGCCTACCCCTAAAGCTGAGGCTGCTGCTCCTAAGGTTGAGGCTGCTGTTCCTAAGGTTGAGTCTTCTGCCCCTAAAGTTGAGGCTGCCCCTAAAGTTAAGCCTGTTGCTGCTCCTAAAGCTGAGGCGGCGGCTGCTAAAGTTGAGGCTGTTCCTGCCCTTAAAGTTGAGGCTGTTCCTGCCCCTAAAGTTGAGCCTGCCCCTGCTTCTAAAGCTGAGGCTGCTCCTGCCCCTAAAGGCAAGCCTACCCCTAAAGCCGAGGCTGCTGCTCCTAAAGTTGAGGCTGCTGTTCCTAAGGTTGAGTCTTCTGCCTCTAAAGTTGAGGCTGCAGCTTCTAAAGTTAAGTCCGCTCCGGCCCCTAAAGTTAAGCCTACCCCTGCTCCTAAAGTTGAGGCTTCTGCCCCTAAAGTTGAGGCTGCCCCTACCCCTAAAGCTGAACCTGTCCTTGTCACTAAAGTTGAGCCAGCCCCTGTTCCCAAACCAGTTAAAGCCCCATCCATACTGGAGCCAGTCATCAAGAACGACAAGGGTATCTCTTTCTATCTCTTTCTGTCTGTTTTTGCTTTTTATGCATATGCTGGTATATATTGTCAAATGTTTCCTCCCCACAAAGTTTTTAGGGTCACTTCATAAGTGAAAGTTAGCCTGGTAACTATGGTCTGGAAATCGCCTTTTCTTAGTCTGAGTTAAATTAAAGCTTTAGTTGGATGCTTTTCAGGAAGTAGTTCAAAGAGCATAGAGCCAATAGTTGAATGGTTTATCAATGTGGATATTGTTCAGAGTTATAAGCATAATGGCAATTTACGTTTGCTTCTATTTTGAGGTATATTAAAGGGTATTAAAGTATTTGTGTAATTTAAAACGCTGTAAAACTGATCCACCCTTTTCTCCATTGCCATTGAAGAGTTTGATTATTCCAACAGGATTTTTGGTGAAAATCTATGTGTCTAATGGCAAATTAACTTAATATGTCTTGGTGTTTTAGGGTCTGGCACTGAATCTGACAGTGACGAATCTGTTCCTGAACTGGAAGACCAGGACTCTGCACAGACACAAACACAGCAGGCACAGGTAAGATTCTTTTGATCAGCACATACAAAAAGCATTAATTTCCCTCCGCTTTATTTTCTTTCACCGTTTCATTTACAATTTGGCATTGACATGAATTAAAATTGCGTTCCCTTTCCACAGCTTGCAGCTGCAGCTGAAATCGATGAGGAACCAGTCAGCAAAGCGAAAAGCCTGTTGCTGCTCCTAAAGCTGAGGCGGCGGCTGCTAAAGTTGAGGCTGTTCCTGCCCTTAAAGTTGAGGCTGTTCCTGCCCCTAAAGTTAAGCCTGCTCCTGCCCCTAAAGCTGAGGCTGCCCCTGCTTCTAAAGCTGAGGCTGCTCCTGCCCCTAAAGGCAAGCCTACCCCTAAAGCTGAGGCTGCTGCTCCTAAGGTTGAGGCTGCTGTTCCTAAGGTTGAGTCTTCTGCCCCTAAAGTTGAGGCTGCCCCTAAAGTTAAGCCTGTTGCTGCTCCTAAAGCTGAGGCGGCGGCTGCTAAAGTTGAGGCTGTTCCTGCCCTTAAAGTTGAGGCTGTTCCTGCCCCTAAAGTTGAGCCTGCCCCTGCTTCTAAAGCTGAGGCTGCTCCTGCCCCTAAAGGCAAGCCTACCCCTAAAGCCGAGGCTGCTGCTCCTAAAGTTGAGGCTGCTGTTCCTAAGGTTGAGTCTTCTGCCTCTAAAGTTGAGGCTGCAGCTTCTAAAGTTAAGTCCGCTCCGGCCCCTAAAGTTAAGCCTACCCCTGCTCCTAAAGTTGAGGCTTCTGCCCCTAAAGTTGAGGCTGCCCCTACCCCTAAAGCTGAACCTGTCCTTGTCACTAAAGTTGAGCCAGCCCCTGTTCCCAAACCAGTTAAAGCCCCATCCATACTGGAGCCAGTCATCAAGAACGACAAGGGTATCTCTTTCTATCTCTTTCTGTCTGTTTTTGCTTTTTATGCATATGCTGGTATATATTGTCAAATGTTTCCTCCCCACAAAGTTTTTAGGGTCACTTCATAAGTGAAAGTTAGCCTGGTAACTATGGTCTGGAAATCGCCTTTTCTTAGTCTGAGTTAAATTAAAGCTTTAGTTGGATGCTTTTCAGGAAGTAGTTCAAAGAGCATAGAGCCAATAGTTGAATGGTTTATCAATGTGGATATTGTTCAGAGTTATAAGCATAATGGCAATTTACGTTTGCTTCTATTTTGAGGTATATTAAAGGGTATTAAAGTATTTGTGTAATTTAAAACGCTGTAAAACTGATCCACCCTTTTCTCCATTGCCATTGAAGAGTTTGATTATTCCAACAGGATTTTTGGTGAAAATCTATGTGTCTAATGGCAAATTAACTTAATATGTCTTGGTGTTTTAGGGTCTGGCACTGAATCTGACAGTGACGAATCTGTTCCTGAACTGGAAGACCAGGACTCTGCACAGACACAAACACAGCAGGCACAGGTAAGATTCTTTTGATCAGCACATACAAAAAGCATTAATTTCCCTCCGCTTTATTTTCTTTCACCGTTTCATTTACAATTTGGCATTGACATGAATTAAAATTGCGTTCCCTTTCCACAGCTTGCAGCTGCAGCTGAAATCGATGAGGAACCAGTCAGCAAAGCGAAACAAAGCAGGAGTGAGAAGAAAGCCAGGAAGGTAGGTCATCCACAGGAACTGAATGAATGTAATTTTAACACTAAATTCAATTAGAATTAATGCAGTGTTGTTTATCTGTACGCTTTCTTCTTTTTGCCAGGCCATGTCCAAATTGGGGTTGAGACAAGTTGCTGGTGTTACCAGAGTAACCATTCGCAAGTCCAAGAACATTCTCTTTGTCATCACCAAACCAGATGTCTACAAAAGTCCAGCTTCAGATACTTACATTGTCTTCGGTGAGGCCAAGGTAAAGATTAGAATAAAATCTGCTTTCTTACTTAAGGTTGGTGTACTTCTATCTCAGCCCTGTTTTGTTTGATAACTAATTCTACATGGCAACCTGTGATCTAGACCTAAGTGACCTTTTGATGATGATTTAAACAGTTTGACTTTCGTTCTTCTGAGTCTGATGAAGCCAAACTTTCTGTCCTGAGAGAGGAAACTTTCACAGTGGTGTAAGTGAAGAACACATTGAAGCTCACAAAACAAACTAAAATCCTGATGCTTTTTGCTCCTCTCAGATTGAAGATCTGTCCCAGCAAGCTCAGTTAGCAGCCGCAGAGAAGTTCAAGGTTCAAGGAGAAGCCGTTTCAAACATCCAGGAAAACACACAGACGCCCACAGTACAGGAGGAGAGCGAAGAGGAAGAGGTGAATGTTAACACTATTGTGATTCTAGAACAGAATAATACTGAAGATGCTTCATGAAAGGTCTTCTGTTGATGTGTTCAACAAATGTGAAAAGTAAATGTCCACATTCATGAGTGATTTGCTTTACCATTTGCAGGTTGATGAGACCGGAGTGGAGGTCAAGGACATTGAGCTGGTCATGTCACAGGCCAATGTATCCAGGGCAAAGGCTGTGCGTGCACTGAAGAATAACAATAATGACATTGTCAATGCTATTATGGTGAGTTAAACTGATAACTTTTAAAAAGATTTTAAAAGTTCTCACTTTATGCAGTTAAATAAAATACATTTTACAATTCAAAAATTTTTTTTTTTTTTCAAAACTCTTCTGTGATGAATTAACATTTGACTTTCGTTCTTCTGAATTTGTCCTGAAGCCAGTTCATTTGTTCTGAGAAGAGCTCAGGCTTTAAATGTGGTGCCATGGTTTCAAGCAGTATTACTTAATTCATCTTTTTGCCTGCCTTTACAGGAATTGACGATGTAGATGGAGATCAGGGACTGGGTCACATTAAGATGTTGCTGATTTGATCTACACAATTGTTTGTACAATTTATACACAAGAGAAATAAAGGCGTGACTTGATGAAATGATATATTTTGTGTATTTTTTTTTTTTTCTTTTGTTAGATATTTATTTCATTGTTTGGTAAATTTGTCCAGAGCAGCTGGAAACATGAATTGCATAGAGCAAGGGAAAGTAAAAATATGAACTAGCTCATATCACTGTCTGGGGATGGATCTTTTTTTTAAATTATTATTTGTATAAAAACATTATTTAAAATAAAGATTGTAATGTCCAGTCGAGGCTGTGTGTCGGATTACATATTTACTTTTTAATAAGTGGAAGATACAGTCACAGTTTGTTTTTTTTAGTCCCGATTTTGTTTTCAGATATTTCGAATGTACAGTGTGTGTGGGACTTTTATTTTTTTAAAGTAACAAGGAACAGTTACAGTCGGTGATCTCACGTGTGCACTGGCTTTTGTTTTGAATAATATACTAATGGTCAAATACAATAATTAACTTGATGCCGCAATATTGAAATGTCATCACACATGCTTGCATACGTTACTCGGTATGAAAAAATAAGTAAGTTACTTCGTCTCTTAATGCGTTCCCTAAATGTGTTGTGTAAGTTCTTAGCGAGTTAGCTAACAGACATCGGAACAAGTCATAAAGTACAGCACGTAATTTTAAATGCTCCTTTCTCTCAGTCAAATCAGTTTATAAGACTAAAATGGCTATCAGATTACCTTTGGTTGGAGCTTTACATTATATCGACTCCAGAACGAGTGTCGTTATTGCACAGCGACTGTTCTGCTCTCAAAAGAGAGAACAAGGATCTTCTGACACTATAAGGGTGAGAACACACTTCTTCCTTAAACTAATTACAGTGACGTTGTTTTTACGTCCAGGATAGTCTAATAAATATTTTGTAGGCATACTGTATATAGACTGGAGTGTACATTTTTGAGCTTGTACGCATCAGAAGAAATATCTTGAAGGCAGCCTAGTGAGCTTTCCACCCAGGCATCCTTATAAGCAGTGTATCATGTTCATTTTGTGTCATCGATGCTGTATGATGGAGAATGCCCAATATGTGTTAAAGAAATTAGCTTTCTTCAGAGAAATAGAGCAGATAAAGTAGATTTTGTGGACATCTCACTGCCAGAATATGATGGGAGCAAATATGAAGGAGTCAAGTTATGAGATGGCAATGGAGGAAATGACTGTGTTTGATGAGAAGAACAAGGTGAGAGATTTTTATTTTATTTATTTATCTATTTATTTTTTGTGGAAAGTCACAAGAGCATTTAAAAAGTCCACACTAAATGATGATGTGTCATAATTTACTCGCCCTCATTTGGAATAATTTTGGGAACTTTAAACTAGTTACCAACTTTCTGAAAAAAAATCTATGAATCTTTTGGGTTTTCCTTCGATTCTTTTGAATTTTTTTCATGATTTCTCACTGGTTTTCCTCAGTCTAAAACATTCAGAAACATTTGTATGGTATTTAAATTCAAGGAACACCTTATCAAATATAATTAATTATTCCTCAATGTGACTTTTTGTTCTTCTGAGAGCAGATTCATCGTGGGGTTTGGCTTGGCTTGGCACGTTAATCTCTCTCCCACTGTTCAGGCCTGTAATGGAGCGAGCGTATGGGGTGTTTGCAAGAAACAGACTGAAGTGGACCGGCAGATAGGGCTGCACCACTGGACACTGTGCTAAAAAATAGTCATTAGGGATAGAGAGCTTTAAAACAGACTTTCCAGGTCAATGGATGTATTGGAAGTAACAGCTGTTATTGTTATTTGTTAAGTTTATTGCATTTAATATTTAAGAGTCTGAATATAACTGTAATGTCAATATGTGAATAGAATAAATGATCTTTTATTAAGATCTCCAACTTAAAAAAAAACAAAAAAACACGCACTGTGATATATGTATATACAATAAATTACTCGTACTGTGAGGAAAATGATGCCAGAGTGTTGACACTTTGAACAGTTCTGAGGGAACTTTTTCTAAATTTAGAAGCCTCCTGACTGGACATCAACTGTTAAGATGCGGAAGGACAGCTTGTCCTTTAATGAGAAATGGTCAGGGGTTTGGTCAGTAGTCCCTTTAAACCAACCAATAGGATTTTAACTTCAGAGTAGGGTGGGATTAAAAACCACAACAGAAACAAGTGTAAACACCACAGGACGTAATCCAAGAGAAAACAAGCAATATAAGTGTTTTGGAAGGAAAGTCAGCATTTATTTATCACCTTGAAGTCAAGTTTAGGAGAAAAAGAGAGAGCGACAGGTAAGACAAAATAACTAGTTTATTTGAAATCTACAAGTGACCCTCAAGGTTAAGTGTGCTTTGTTGAATTGGACTTAACTTGACCTTCTGTTTTAGTGAAGAATAAAATATGATTTTTTTTTATGTTACGAGTTGTAATCATTACTTAAGCTACACACTGTAAACTGTAAACTTTATCTTACAGAATTACAACCAATAGATAGTGTGTGTGTATATATCTCTTATATGTTTGTTTTATTAAGGCCAATGAGATTTATGACTCTAATAATAGATTTCTATCATTCATTAAAATATGTATTGCTTAATAACATTTTTTATATAAAAATATAGACCTCATGTTACTAGTGCATTTGTAATTTTTTGCTGAATATAGGTCTGAGAATAGATACTGAAGTTTGTGTAGCATTTAAATTCTCAGTTGTTTATGATATACATTAGGGTCAGCCTTTGTGTTAATATTTTACACGTTGGAACAAATTACAAAAGAGAAAGCAGGTCTGCTGGTGAATTTTTACTATGTCTGGCATTTTAAATAGAGGACTCGTTGATTCACTGTGCCTAAGCACATGGATACAGGCATGTTGTGGAACTGTCTGTACACAACGTGACGCAAAGGCCGCTGCCAGTCCTCATAGATCACAACAAAGACAGAAGAGGCAAATAGCTGCACTTCTTTGCTTTCTGCCATGTGACCAACAGGCAACTATAAATATGTACCGGAGGTTCATGGAAATACTAAACGGGGTATTTTTCTGACCTACAGTCGACACCTTGGTGTCATATTTCATAGTTCTGAGCACAGTCACCCTGTTCTTATTCACAGAATGGCTTATAAAATCCACTCTGAAAAATCCCTAAAGAGATTGTTGAATTAAAGGCTTAATTAAAATTGGCTAATTAAAACATCACTGTTAAAAGGACTGAATTTGTATGAATCTAATTGGCTCACTTTTTTCTGTAATTATTTGGTTTGTAAGCTGCACGGCGGTGTGTCATTTATTAGAAGATTTGCTTTGAATTACTATTGATAAATTAGCATAAGTACAAACTTCAAAGCAATTGACTATGGAGGATTTGTGGTGCCAAACTTGTCAATAAATAATGAAAAAGTCAGTAAATGGATAACATAAGTTACATTTGTCCATTGGACATGGATGTATTTTTGACATTTATTTACACATGATTTATTTAGTGCAAAATTTCATTATTTAATTTAACTATAGTAACACAAGTATATAAATCCTCCATAACTGACCAGAAGGGGGCGTACAAACATAAATCAACACTGTGGTCTACATTATTAAACATTATACTGATCTTCATTATTTTTCCTATTTATGGGAATAAATACAAAGAACTGACCTTTCTCTTAATTACATACCCCAAGGACAGACAGACAGATAATGAATAAGAATCTCTTCCGCTTTGCTGAATTTTTGTTTGCTTCTTTCTATTTTAGACATTCCATGATTCTGATTCTGCTGCCCATGCTCATTCAGTCCTCATTCAGATCATCTGCTTGGTCTCTGTTGTTGTTGGTGCTTCACTGATGGCTTGGTACCTCGACAAAACCCGGGTCACTCACCTGGGGTCAAAGCGGCTCCGGTTACTGTACAAGATGAAGTATCTGCTCACAAACATTAGAAATGTTTCTCACCTTGTCAGGAGGTCTCATAGGTCATGTCAGAGTATCTGCTCCTCTCAGTCTACAAGGAGAATCCCTCTCAAATCTCATAGATCAAAGAAGACTATCAGACTTTTTGGAGCAATTAGCAGTAATATGAAATATGAGAATGTATTGGGCCTTCAGATGTATCGATTATACTCAACCTCCAGTAGAGAGACTTTCAAAGCAGAAGCTCCCATTGGAGTTTACCAGCACAGCAGGACTACTTTTCGGCTGCGCTTGCTTGGACTGAGATTAGGAGAGTCTTTTAATCATCTCTCCAGACACATAAACTTGTACTTTAAGCAGAAACATGTATCTGTGATAGATTATGGACAAGGTGGATTGATGTCTGCAGTGCAGGAACCGCTAACCAGAACATCAAGACGAGTTCAGAGAGAGAGACGCACTGGAGAGTCCAGAGCTTTTGTAGGGACACCTGCCATTGAGCAGGTCTCTGAATCTTCCTCACATCAACCTTTGACCTCAGCCTATCCTGGACTACAGTTGTTCCACATCAGTTCTTTGGCAAACAGATTTGGGGAGAGTTACATCTATGTGGCCAATCACATTAACTCTGTATTCTCTAGAAATCCAGCAAAGCAAATTCACATGGAGGTATCACCGGATGATGGGCACAAAAGGTCTAGAAGCAGAAAGCGAAGAGTTATGAATAATAAAAGTGGTCTTTGTAGGGAAACTGCACAAACTCAGCAAAACATTAGTATGGGTACAAGACCAGAGATTGATAACAATGTATCTAGTTCCTGGGATGAAGGATATCTCCATTTTGCCCGTCACATCAACCGATACTTTGGAGCAAAAGTAGCAGATACTGTTGAAAAATCACCACATACTGAGATGAACATCTTGAAGACTTCAGTCTCACTGGACACTCTAAATAAACCTAAAGATCCACTTCTTCAGCCCAAATCCCCAGGCTTGTTCCACATGAGCAGCCTCACCACTCGCTTTGGGGAAAATTACACTTACATGGCCAACCACATTAACCGGTACTTTAAAGGATCTGCAGCTTCAGAGAATGAGGAGGTAGATGGAGAGTTAAACCTTTACAGAGGTTCACATAAGTACACTGTGATCCAGGAAAACCCA